TCCAAGATGACTGTCAAATTTTCCACCGTTTTTGTCCTGATTGCAGTCAGCATCGCTTGCGTATCCGCCAACGCCGTGTCCTGGTGCTGTAAGTATCTGCTTCATCTTTTTTTTTTTTCCTCTCTCTCTCTCACTCTCTATCTCTTTCTTTCGTCTTGACCAGCTTGTTTAACTTGTTTTGTTTTCCCTCTGATGCTCATTCCAAACAGACGTGAATGGACTGAGCGGGGACTGCGCAAAGCCCACACCCTCAACGCTGACATTCGCGAGCTTCAAAGGGACCACAGACATCAAGCTGACGCCCTGTCACACCGACAAGTATGCGGCCCAGACGTATGGGTATCTTCTCGAGGTGAATGCACAAGGAGCCAAGCAGCCGTTCCCAAACAGCTCGGCAAAGGATCTGGTGAATGATGCTCTAAAGTCAAAGCAATGCCTGGGTGCGCAGAGCCTGGTGGCCTGTACAAACAGCCCCTCGGTTCTCGCAAACCCACAGTGCAAGTTGTGGTAAGCCCACTTACCTTGCAGCATGAAGCGCGAGCAACCGGCAGCAAAGACCGACCAAACAGACAACGGCTGGCTCGGTGGGGACACACGGCCGCACGCACTTTCCGTTGGCAAATCTGACTCAGCCGGCCTTCGTCAGCGCCGCACCCACATGTCGGCGATATCGCTCTCCCGTACACGATGCAGCTTTGAGCTACGTGACCTCTATGCAATGCAGTCCGTTGACGGGGTCTGATGTGTGTGCTCTGTCGCTGGCGGCCAAAGCTCTAGCCTGAGCACTCGTCGTCTCTTATAAAGAGCAGACTTCTGTTGGAGAGACACGCGTGTGGGTGATCGCCACTTGTTTACATGCTATCTTCTGAGGAGTATCACCATGCGTCTCACTTCAACCTTGACTGCTTTCCTCGTCGCCAGTGTTGGCTATGCAGCCGCAGAGCGCCTTGCCGCATGGTGCTGTGAGTTGCGCTTCCTACTTGTTGAATGTACACGGGGTGACAAGGACCATGTGCTGACGTTTATTCTTGGCTTACTCACGTTTCATCACAGACACTACCGGGCTCACGAAACCCTGCCTGAGCAACTCAAACTGGCCGTTGACCTCAACGTACTCAAGGCTGCAGGCCTGCAACTCGGGCAAGCGCTCTGGTCTGGGCCCCGACACGCATGGCTATCTGGTTTACATCAAGGACTATCAGAACGACCCAAATCCGTTCCCTAGAGACTGGGCTCAGAATCGTCTGCTGAATATCCTGATGGCAAACAGATGTGTTGCCGACAACACCGTGGAGATGCAGTGCTCCAACGACGCAGACCTGCTCCAGGATCCCCAATGTAGCGCCTGGTGATGTGCTTGTGCGCATGCGATCTCTGGCTTGGCAAGCACAAGTGCCAGTCGAATGCTTTTTGTTTTTTGCTTCATTTCCCGCTTCCACTCTCGGTGATTCTGCCTGAATTCTCAGTTTGTTTGCCATCTCTTACTGGACTTTGTGGCTCTGCTCAGAGTGTGTCAGAGTGTATGTCTTGTCTCGCAACGCAGTGGGAGGTATCTGGTGGCTGTGCTTTACCAATCGAACTGGTGGGCCTATTGAGCCGAAGGGCTCGGTCTCGGCCTTGCAATCTTTCTTGCGCCCTGAGCGCCACCTCTTTATGACGTACAGGTCCAGAGGCTACACAGATGAAGGCGCAGTTCGTGCACCGCCTTTTTCCAAGTGGGTCGGCTCGATTTTGCTTGTCTATCCGATGACAAGTACGTGGCTGTCAGATGAAGTCGGCCAGCGCAGATATTCAAGGGTGTGTGGAATGACAAATGCTCCTGGTACTACAGTAGTCGGGAGGGAAGGTGGGTTGCAGGTCGGCGAAACATACAGTAGTGACCCTCCTTACAGGCCGCCACTGGGCTCCCACCCGCGCTAGAATGATGATAAAAGCTGACCCCTCGACCTTTTTGTTTGCTTTCCTCTCCTCCCTTTACAAGACACAAACTCGCACAAGAGCAATCGGCAAGATGCTGCAAAAGAGTGCTCAGCTTGTACTGTTTGCCCTGGCCGCCGCTACTGTCGGGGTGTGGGCTGACAGAAAATCAGTTGCGGTCGCATGGTGCTGGGCAGACCCGAGCGGAAACAGCTGCAGCGAGTACACCGCACAGCAGACGCAATACACGATCATCCAGCCGTGTATCGTGCCCATGGCCATACAGGCCCCCTACAATGCCAAAACATACAATGGATACCAGATTCGGGCATTGGACGACCCAAAGAAGGCTGCTAGTGAGGCAGACCAGGTTTGTATTTGCCTTCTGCATCGATGGGGTCGCGCATGGCAAGCATATAGACTGACTTTTTAACCGTCTTCTGTGTTTTGTTGACCATGCGCGGGCAAAATTCAACTCGCAGCGTTTTCTGTCCATCATGGGAAGCTGTCTTGCTCAGAACGTCCAGCACAAGTGCTATACCGATCCCGAGCTACTCACCCGTGGCTGCGGCTAGGCTGACTAGCTTACCATTTGTCAACGACATCAGGTCCAAACTCGCGCCACCCATCCATTCTTAGAGTCGGTGAAGTTCCCGCCCATCCATTCTGAGAGTCGGTGTAGTTCCGCAAGTCGAGTACTATCTTTACTTTGCTCGCATTGTTCACACTGCGTCTTGGGTCTACAGAGATGCAGACTCAAGCATCAAGCTGCTAGGATGAGAAAGAGTGGCAGTTGCAAGCAGAATAAAACAAACGAGTGACTATACATGGTCAAGGCCATAGGCGCAAAACATTGTGGCGAGGGGCGGGAGAGGGGGGGCCGGAAAAGAGATAGGCAGGTAGGGGTGGGTGAGAAGAGGTTTACTGTCGGACGGCGTAGGCCTTCTCGCGGTCGACGCCGCCGAGGCCCTTTTCGTTGAGGCCGAGGCCGTATCGTCGCAGACGGATGGCCTGGACGGTGATGAAGCCCGAGGTGGCGGCCGAGTCGAAGCCGCCCTGCTCGTCCATGGAGGTGAACTTTTCGTCGTAGAGGAGCTCTTCGGAGCTGCGGCCCTCGACGATGACGTTGCCCTTGTAGAGGGCGAGCTTGACCTGTCCGTTGACGGTCTTTTGGGACTGGGGGATGCAGGAGCGGACAAACTCGCACTCGGGGGAGAAGAAGAAGCCGTAGTAGAGCTGCTCGGAGAACTTGGTGGTGATGACCTGGTCGCGAATTCGGCGAACCTCGCGGTCGAGGGTGAGGCCCTCGAGGTCGAGGTGGGCGGCGCGGAGGATGGTGGCACCGGGGGACTCGTAGCAGCCGCGGGACTTGACGCCGATGAAGCGGTTCTCGACAATGTCGATTCGGCCGATGCCGTTGGCGCGGGCGAGGGCGTTGAGGGTGAGGAAGACGTCGACGGGGTCGGTGTGCTCCTTGCCGGTGGAGAGGACCTTGACCTTGGAGGGGATGCCCTGGGTGAATTCGATGACGATGCGCTCGGGCGTGTCGGGAGCCGACTCGGGGCTCTTTGTGAGCTTCCACATGTCGGCGGGCGGGGTGGTGTTGGGGTCCTCGAGGATGCCGGCCTCGTAGGAGATGTGGAAGAGGTTCTCGTCGGTGGACCAGGGCTTGGCCTTGGTCTGGGTGACGGGGATGCCCTTGGACTCGGCGTACTCGAGCAGAGCCGAACGGCCGGCGAAGCGGTTGAAGAATTCGGGGATTCGCCAGGGGGCAATGACCTTGATGTCGGGCTTGAGGCCGTAGAAGGCGAGTTCGAAGCGGACCTGGTCGTTGCCCTTGCCGGTGCAGCCGTGGGAGACGTACTGGCATCCGGTCTTTTCGGCGGCCTCGATCATGCCACGGGCAATGACGGGACGGGCGAGGGAGGTGCCGAGGAGGTAGACGTCCTCGTAGATGGCGTTGGCCTGGACGGCGGGGAAGATGAGCTCCTCGATAAACTCGCGCTTGAGGTCGGCAAGGATGAAGTCCTTGGCACCGCACTTGAGGGCCTTGGAGCGGGCAGCCTCAAAGTCCTCCTCCTGACCGACGTCGGCCATGAAGGCAATGACATCGTAGCCCTCGTCGATGAGCCATGCAAGGATGGTGGAGGTGTCGAGACCACCCGAGTAGGCAAGAAGGACCTTTCCAGACTGTCCAGGCATATTGCTTTGCGTTTGAGTATGTGATATGTAAAAGAGAAGAAAGGGGTAGTTGTCTTTTTTCTTTTTTGTTCAAGACAGAGAAGGGAACTGACAAGAGAGTATGAAATGTGTCAGGGCAAAGATGGTTGTTGAGAGGTGGAAAGGGAAATGCTGGATGCTGCAGTCGAGTTGATTGCGGTTGTACTGTAACTGTGCTGTACTACCGTATTCGATGCTCAACCATCAGCCGACCAAGGAAGATATCGCGTCGGGACACCGAAAAAAAAGGAAAATGCCAAACTCGGAAGAAAAGAGGGACAGTAAGTGTAACGTTAGCAGCTAGAGCAACTACCGCCGTACTCTGTACTGTTGCAGTGTAACACTCACTGTACAGTAGACTGTACTGTACATGCGTTGCTGATTTGAGGCAGAAGAAGAAGAAGAAGAAGAATGAGCAAATTGGCCGAACAAAGAGCCACACTGCACAGGTGCCTGGTGTAGCTGCTCACGCACGAAATTCCACTTGGCTGCTGCGAGATAAGAGCCGCCCTGCAAACAAAGTGCAGCAGTGCTGTACTGTACAGTGCAGTGGTCGGTGGATGTCAAGGCAAGCGAAGCGCTTCATGGTTGACTCGACGGCAGAATTTTTTATTTTTTATTTTCTGTTTTTCTTTTTCCTTCTTCTTGCTCGCATTCTTCTCTCACAGCGCTGTCCGTCTCAATCATTATATGATTAATGATTGCGTGGTCTGAGCGTGACAGAAGAGTTGGATTCTGCATACTGTCCGGGTAAATTCGGTTACAAGGGCCAACAAGCGCGACCATTGAATTGTCACTTTATACAAAACGGTATTATCTATATATGCACTATTCAGCATGCTTTTCAACAAGCAAACAAACCAGGCCGGTTGGCCCAATGGTAAGGCGTCTGACTACGATTCAATTACAATCGCAAATCAGGAGATTCTGGGTTCGAGCCCCAGGCTGGTCATTCCTTTTTGCCTTTTGCCTCTATCTCTCTCCCTACAGCCTTGGCAAACTGGCTACTCTGCTTTCTTTTTTTTTCGTGTATATTTCTGACCCCAATTTCTTCCTAGCTTTCCTCATCTTCATGAGAACTTTTTCGACCAACTCAATATCCCTGCCACACTCCCTCTGACCGCTTTACCCCTCGCAAAATGAGACACTCAAAGACAAACATGCTATGGCCAAGCCAAGACTGTCAGTTTCAGGGACAGTGTCCTCGATCCCTTGCAAACACCAATAAACTCTGAGCTCACATCAGCCAGTACAATGACTGCACCTTACCCGTACACCACAACATGGAACAACGACAAGTCCACACAAAAAAAAAAGTTCTGACAGCCAACCGCAAAAATGATTTCAGCCGGGTTCGAACCGGCGACCTCCTCCGAACTTAACAAGCGGATGACTGATTGTTAAGGAGACGCGCTAACCAACTGCGCCATGAAACCCGATTGTCTCAGACTCAATACATTGTAATTATATACGCTATACAGGCACCCTCAAATTTGAATCCCGTGTTCAGCATCTTCTCTCAAAGCGTTCTGCCTCAGACTTCTGGACGGGGGTCGACATGCACCCATCCATTCGCTTTCCTACACCATCTCTGTCGACGTACTTCACACCGAGAATCGTGCAAAGGCTACGGCGTCGAACAGAACATCAAGCTGCATTGAACACACACCTTTTCATGGTCGGTTCAGGTAAACTCGTTCTTCCTTAATTTCCACCATTTGGTCGCTCTTGAAATCCCCTCCTTCGGTTGCACGCACAGTCGCCTTCGCCTTTCACTGATTCTTCAACGCGAAAAAAGTTTGCAAGATAGCGACAATATGGTATGCATGCAATTGTACAAGTATCAGAGGCTAGTGTGAGCCGAGGTATGATAAACAACACTGCCACTTGAGAATCTGAACATGGTATCACGATCGAGTACGACAGCTAATAGTAGTGCCCCTTGGAAGCTTCGGCGTTCTGGTATCCAGTCCGAGATTGCGCATCCGAGGGCGACGAAGCCGACTGCTCCTCTGGCGATGCGAAAGCATTCACCAGTCCGCCAGGCATCTGGTGTTGCTGCTGCTGCTGCTGATGCTGATGCTGATGCTGATGCTGAAACTGCGGCGGCCCACCACTGCCGCTCGTGTTGCTGTACTGGTACTGCGCCACCGGCGTCGACTGCTGGTATGGCTGCATTGGCTGCATCTGTGGCGCACCGGTCGCGCTACCGCTGCGATGACCACTGACCATCCCGTTGACGTCTTCTTGCCCTTGCACGCTCTCCGCGTCAGTGCCCTGCACGGTGTGGCCGTGCACTGCTGCAAAGCTGCCAGACCCAACGCGCCCGAGAAAGCCTGCTGTGTGTCCGGACGAGATCGCAGTAGGCTCACCGTATCCGCTCGTGCTCGAAAGCGTCGAAGTCCATGAATGGCCTTCGTCGCCATACTTCGTTCCAGGAAAGCTCCGTGAGAGTCCGAGTTGGTGCGCGTTGCCATCGTCGTCACGCGTATGGCCTTCAAAGCGACTGGGCACGCCGCCTGCACTTCCGCTTACGCTGCCTCCAGCACTGCCGCTGCCACCAACACTGGCGGTACCGCTGGTGCTTGTGCTGCCGTGTTCCAGCTTCGACATGGTTGCGGATCTCTTGCGTCCTTCGCCCTGCTTCTTGTTCCCAATGCCGCAACCCTTGACCAGCACGTGTCGCTTAAGGGCATCCTTGCGGCTGAAGGCCTTGTCACAGTAACCGCACGGGAACGGCTTGACCGCCAGGTGGATGCGCGCGTGTCGCTTGAGGTCGTGGTTGCGGCTGAAGATGGCATCGCAGGCCGAACACTTGAACTGTTTGGGCGGTGGGAGCGACGAGCGCGCCTTCAGCTTGCCCCGGTCGGCATTGGATGTAAGAGTGAGCCGCGCCACGGCTGCTGGAGGAGCAGGAATGCCTGCAAACGCCTCCAGAGGGTTCGATGCGAGCGGCCACATGGGCTCAGACGAATCAAACCCATCGAACATGCCGGTATGAGCCTGCCGGGATGTGGTATCGCTGCCGATACTCATAGTCGATGAAGCGCCTGCGAACGGGGCAGCAGTAGGATATGTGCTCTCGCCAGCAGAACCTGCAGCCACACGCTGGCCTGCCGACATGTAAGGCGCCGTTGGGTACTCGGTATATTCCGACGGTCCGGGGAACGCCCACGAGGCTGACGCCGGCTGACTGTAGACAACAGGATTGCGCAGGTGGGGTGACGAGCCATCGTAAACATAGTTTGCCGCCTGCCCCGCGTATCTGGCCGGATCGTGCAGGCCTGCTGATTGATGAGGATGAGCATGATGTTGTTGTTGCTGCGGCTGCTGCTGTTGCAGTAGCGAATGTTGGGCCAGTGGTGCTGACGGGGTTTGCTGATGTTGTGAATGATGCTGGGGATGGGGCTGTTGCGACTGTGACTGTGACTGTGACTGTGACTGTGACTGTGACTGTGACTGTGACTGTGACTGTGACTGCGACTGCGACTGCATCTGCATCTGCATTTGCATCTGAGGGTGAGAAGAAGCGACGAAATTTGATGCGTTCGCAGCTTCACGTGGACGCTCAATTGCGTACGGCTGCTGGGACAAGCGAGGCACTGGCCAGATTGCCTCTGTGCCCTGGTCGTGACCTGTCCTTCGGTCGCTTCCAGGTGCACCGTAGGTGACTGGGCTGCCCATCTTGCCAAAACTTTGACTGAAGCCGTGAGGGCCAAATCCGTCTGTGCGATAGACTACGTCCATCGCCTGATTCTGTATGCTGTGGTGAGGGTCGCTAGCGAAGCCCTGCGCAATGTCCCGAGACGTCTCCGAGCCAGCGTGTGGCAAAGGTTTCGGATAACCGACTGATCCACTCGATTGCGTCGAGGGTACCAGCGAGGGCTGCGGCGGTCCTATTGTCGAAAGAGCCGCAATGGTCGCGGGTAGACCTTGAAGGGCGGGGGTGAACGGGACGATGGCGGCAACACTGCGGCGAGAGCCCAAAAGCGAGGCTGGCTCTCGAAACAAGCTCGTGTCTGTCAGAGAATTATTGTCGCTCTGCTAAGGACTAGCGCCGGAGGCTGAAGCTGCAAAAGAAGGCCGATACCAGGAAAAGCGAGGAACGATCGCAGATGGAGATCAGACCTGCGGAAGAGGGGAAGAACGTAATAGATAACGAGAGACTGTTCGTACGATGTAGTCAATGTCCTGTGTAGGACCGTTGGCAGCGACAGACAGGTGTCCGTGCTTTTAGGTTGGAAGGATGCAAGAGCGTGGGTAAGGACGCAAGGCCTTAATATGAGCCAAGGTTAGAAAGGAAGCCTAGGCAATCCAAGAAAGACGCAATGAAGTGACGGGTGAAAAAGCTGTGGCCAGACAGGGCGAGGAGTCGACCGGCGTCTTGAACGAAAATACGGGGGCGAAAGCTGCGACAGATGGCCGATAGAAGCGACGGGATTGGGGTTGCGATATGAAGTGACAGCACCCCAAGGTACTTTGTGCAGCGAGACAGGGGCTGTAGGACCGACCCGACGGGGAGCCCAGTCAAGGGAATATGCGCCGCACGAGGGCGAAGCGGCAAGCCGAAAGCCACGAAGATGGCCACTGATGGCGACAGTCTGTGCGGGCCCAGCTGCTTTTGGTGGGGAAGCGCCGGGAGCGGAGAAGCGGATTGCGATACTGTGGCTGCACTGTGCGCGTCGAAAGGGTGGGCAGGGTGGAGCAGTGGGCGAAGCACGGCTGTAATCTGCAGCAACACCTGCAACAATGAGGTCGTGACGGTCTCGCGGTGACCTGGTCAACGATGTCTGGTGGCGAGATGAATGTACACGGCCAAGCGAGCGACTTGCGCAGAGCTGTCCGAATCGTAAGATTAGTAAGGCGTCGATTCCTAGGCAGCGATCGCCGAACGAAGCGGTATAGGAGGTCCGACGGCTTTCTCTGCGTTGCGTGTGCCCAGTACCGATCGATGAGCTTGATGGTCGGCGGGCAGACAAGATCAGCACGCTGGAGCTGATCAAGAGATCCGTTTCCGCTTGATTAATCGAGAGTCAAAGGCAGGCGTCGGGGGTGCCGCTATGCGAACAAGGCAAGGGCGAACACGGTCGAAAATACTGCAGCGACGTGATGGAAGCAGGGCAAGGATAAGAATTGTGCTACGATAGATGCTGTACTGTAGTGTGTGATGGGATGTATTGTCGATGAAGAGAGAGTCAGAAGCAGAGTAGTGTGGGGACAGGGGAGAAGCGACAAAGGGGAATCTGATTCCGAGGCCCGGATATAGGTGCAATATACGAATAGGAACGACAAAGCCGAATCGGAACGCTTCGTTCGTGCTGGCTGACACGCTGCAGATGGCCAGTTTGCAAGTGCCTGATTGATCTGTGTGAAGAGGATTAGGGGCAGAGCTAGTGTGACTGAGCAAGTCAGAACCACGACGAGTAGGAACACGTGTGCAAAGATGCCCGGGTCGGAATGGCAATCGCAATCGCAATCGCAGTGGCGGTGTGGTGAGGGCGTACACACAGCCAGGGTTGGAGGGAGCTGCAAGGACGAGCTGGGTGGTCTGCGCTGGTGTCTGAAGGGCTGATGACTAGCTGGCAATGCAGGTCGAAAGTCACACTGACGAGCGAGCCAGGGGCCAGACAAGAGGTGGATTCGAGGCAGTGGACCCAGGGTGGTGGACCACTACTCTGGAGAGAGATCGTGGTGGCAAAGCTACTGTAGCAGGGGAGGGAGAAAGTTGTGGCAGTCGGAGCGGGGGGAGGGGAATGTATGCCTTGGGTTGCTGGCTAGACCGTGGTGCACCCGCTGGCCGTGGAGGCTGCAGCGTGCAATGCAGACGGACAAATCATGCGAGCCGAACGACGAACCGAAAGCACAACAACCGCACGCAGCGACAGCGATGACATCCACCAACGACGATACAGGTCTCGAACAGCGACACAGTGGCGAGCCGATCAGACGAGA